GAGTTTCGGGTTGGGAAGCCCTATGTCTAATTGTTCCGATGAGGAAATATGTGCTCGATTATCAAAGTTTCGGGTCAGAAGGCCTTCTATAAGGATCTTTCGGGTACATTTATGTGCTCGATTCAAGGAGCTTCGGGTCTTTCAGTTGGTTTTAAGATCTTCTATATATTCGATTTAAGTAGTTTCGGGTCGAAAAGACCTTCTATATGCTCGATTTAAGGAATTTCAGGTCGAAAAGACCTTCTATACCCTTATTTCGGGTAGATGCATGTGCTCGATGAAAAGAGTTTCGGACTCAGATACTAAAATTAGACATGTTCTGGTCCTTTTAACAAGCATTAAGGACATTTCACATGCTAAATTTAGAGATGTTCGGACTCGAGATTGAGAAATTGAAGGAAAATAACTTCAATTTCTCAATACATTCACTGATCCTAGTGGTGTTAGGGTGTAAAAAATATCTAATTCACTGATTCTAGTGGTAGTAGAGTGTGAATCATCTAAATCGATGACAATGGTGTGGTGCAAATCGTTTCAATAAAGAGGTGACCTCCTCCCTTCCTATATAAGTTGTAGAGCTAGAGTCGATTCTAGTTTGGCCATTGGACCATACAATAGGAATATCTGGAAACAATAATATAGCGACATTATTTTAAGACGAATTGTGGCCAGCTTGCCCTACATCAACAAATCAGCTTGTTGGGAAAGGGAAGGTCTGTTTGAGCCCAGGAATAGTAGTTGGATTTACGAGATGAGACTCTCATATTGAATGATACTAGTATACTGGTCGCATATCAGCTCTGGAACAAGGAATTATATAAGATTTAATTGCTAAGCCTATGAGTAACATTGAAAATAGTGGGATGCTGGTCACATATCCGTTCTGTAACAAAGAAAATTATAAGATTTTACTGCTAAGCCCATGAGTTTCTAATATAAGTTGGTGTAAATCTAACTATCCTCTTGGTAGTAACACTTATGAAGGTTTTTAGCTGAGTTGGGATTACCTACAACCCACATTATATTTTAATGCTATTCAACTATAAATGTAGAGCATCATAAGCTACTAGCATATAGACGTGATTAATCTTTTACAATGATTTAAAAAGATTACCCATTGTTAAGTTGAATAAATAATTGCACCTTTTTACAAATATAACATGTCTATGACTCCAATAAATACAAATGCCCATCATTGCCTTGCACTTAATGAGGCCTCAAGTTTAAGCTTAATAAGTTCATTCATATGACATATGAAGCTGTAGATAGAAAAAGACACAATTCCCAATTATACTATGATGGTCTACTTGTATCTAATATGTGTTATTACAGCTACAAACATTCCTAATCAGCCATAAATACTAGAAATCTATCTTTAACAAGGCACCATTTACAGCTATATGAGGTGGTGTTTCTGGATTTGAATCTGAATCTGAAGTAAAATCCAGAAATGGAATTCTAAACAAGAAATTTCGGGTTCTATTTGAGAAGTTTCGGGTCTTAATCATATGCTCCATTTAGAAAGTTTCGGGTTCAAATTCCTGAAAACAAGAAATGGGCCTCAAAACTAGAAATCAGGAGAGATTTCGTATTGTCACGTCTTTTCAGAAAAAACTTTTTCTTGTCGGTCTCACTTGAATTACATACGGCATATGAAATTCTGGTGGGGCCGACAAAAAAAACAATTTCTCACCTAAATCCACCAAAATAGAGCTCCAAATACATTTTCTGAGATCAGCTCCAGAAATTGAATTCTACAGCTTGATTTTGAGGAAAATATAATCCTCAAAATCAAGCCAACAACAACAACAACAACAACAACTCCCAAGCAACAATAATCTGATGCGCCACTTCTACCCCCCAATAGAAATTGAACTAACAACAATGCTCCCCACAAGCAATTATCAGTTGTACCATTACATCCTACTTTCAAATCCTGCTTTCCCAAGGCAAGAAGATGAATTCGAACAGAAAAAAGAAGACAACAAGCTAGATTCTTTAAGTATTTTCGCCCAACTCGTATTAAATGCTTAAGGATGGTTTTGTCCAGATTACTTGGCCTGTTTTCGTATGAAATCACGTAAGTGGACGTCGTCGTGATTTTAAGAGCTGGTTCTCCAAGCCAATAGACCCACCTTCTGATTGTTTTTTGACATTTTTACTTAATTAAAAGTATTGAAGAATCTTCGATTCTTCTATATTTTTAACGTTAAAACAATGGATGGATCTTCGATCCATTTATTGTTTTAACTACTAGAGCTCTAGCATTTATTACTTTCTCTTATCTTAAATCGGGACGAGATGAGCTTCGCTCATCTCTTCCGGATTAGCTTACCTATTGGGGTTCTGCCTTCCCCAAACCCCATCCGATTGGGAAAGGCTTTGCCTTTCCTAATGCTAAAGATTTATTTCGTTATTGTATTCAAGAACGTAAGGGAAGCTAATCGAGATCTTAAAGGATCGAAAATCCTTTAATATCTCTATTAGTTTCACCTCCTTAGAGCTTTTTTGGGGGAGGTGAATAGGGGTCAATGATCGAAGATCATTGACCCCCTAGAGGAGGGGCCTTTGGCCCCTCCTATGTAGTTATATATTATAACGCACCGTCAGGGCGGTCATTGTTTCGCAATGACCTTTCCTGACGGATGCTACGAATTCTGAGGTTCTTTTCGTGATAAAAGTCAGGCCGATAGGCCTGATTTTTCTACTAAGGTCTATTCATCAAAAATGATGATGATCGAAAATCATCATTTTTGATGAATTTCCTTAAGTAAATAGACGAAAATACCCACGATGGCGTCTAATAGCTTAAACCCTTAACGAACGCCATAATATTGAGAAACCGCGCTCAAGGATTTCGTATATATATAGGGTTCTCTTAGTCTAATAGGAAAAATTTAATATTCATGATATTAAAATATAGGTTCAAGTCCTGAAGGGTGAACGGTTGTTGTTGCTTAATTGTTGTTCAGCACAACTAATTGTTGTAGGCTTAATGGTGTTAACCACCACTTAAGTGTTGTCGAAATAACGATTGTTCTTGTATAATTGTTGTTTGTGCACCACAATTATTGTTGATATACCTCCACATACCAATTGTTGTTGTCTTAGCACCACCACTTAGTGGTGGATGTTGTTGTTGCTGCACCACCACACACCAACTGTTGTTGTTGTTGTTGTTGAAGGTCGAAATGCAGCTACTACACCACTGCCCCTACTTTTGGTTGTTATAGCACTTAGAGTGTTGTTGATGGAAGATCGAATTATAAATCGTCCGACAAAAATTTTTTTCTCAAATCACGTGACAATACGATTTATCAAAGGAATTGCCCAAAATGGACCTCTAAAAGTGGTTAGATTTGGCAAAATGATAAATTACATTCATTATCATTTTGCCAAATACCTTATCAAATAATAAGCAAGTGGTCTTAAAGTAAATGGATCATGGCCTTTCATATTTGTCTTCCAAGCAGACCATAATATGTCATTCCCATTTCCCATCATCTAAAGGCGATGGGTTTGGAAATATGAATATTCGTATTCATACTTACATTTCCAAATCCTATTGTTACTGCCTCTATACAACACACTCCCCATCCTCAAGGCCAATTCCCACTAATATCCATGCCCAATACTCACTAACGCACACCCGAATATACACTCATGCACCCAAACACACATCCAGACAAGCTCTGGAAACGGAAACAAATAAATGCCATGTTCGGTGCAAGCGGCATCTGCGCCCAAAAGCGTCAAGACGCAAGAGATTTCTGCTCCCAAAGGCGTCAATTCAGAAAAGAGAAATAATTCTAAGAGAATACGACGGCTTCTGCGTCCATATATTCTGGATCCAGAAACGAAACCAAATAACCAAAATTTCGTACTCTCCAAGACACCTCGACGTATACAAAAGCCCGCCACCACCCCCAATTAAAGAGGCAGCCCAAAAAAACGAAAAACAAAAGAAGATAACGAAGATGCCAAAAAATGAGATATATCAAGGATGAAATCCAATTTTATATAAAATAGCGCGCTTCCGAGAGAAATTTCTCACTCGAGAAATTCAAGAGAGAGATTTCTCAGAAATAGAAATGCACAGCCATCCATCCATCAAATACATATCCAACCACCATTCAACCCTACATCCGAATATCCATACATATACCCATTCACTAATCAAGGCCAATTCCCAAGATCCTCAACCCGAACATCCACCAAAACATCCATCCACGCACCCAAACACACATGGCGAACACCCATCCACACAACAATATTAACAAGTATTTGTGGTCCATCCTCCATACTCATATAGAATTCTCCTAGTCTATCAAATAATCATGATATTAAAATATAGGTTCAAATCCTGAAAAATTAATAGTGAATACCGCTTAATTATTGGCGTCTACGTTCAATACATCGTTTACACTAAACAACGTCTCAATACCTACATTAGAAAATAGTATTTGAAAGAAAAACGATGCGATAATCAATCATTTTTCATTATATCTCCTTCAATGGCCGAACGTCCCTTATTCCTTCATGGCCCAAAAAATAAAATTGATGATAAAATCAATAATTTTCCGAAAGAGAATAGCCTCGAGGGGGTTTCAAAGGTGCCAGGGGTTGCAGGGGCCTCCAGGCCTCCAGAGGCTTCCAGGGGCCTCCAGGGCCACTGCATCCGCTACGCCACCCCAACAAAAATTGTCGACAAAGAACAAAAAGAACAATCATAAGGTCGGCATGCCTCCTGGCCGGTTGACTCGATAATAATCTCAATAATCCAAATTCAATCCCAAATCTCCTCCCGATAAAGAACGATCCCGTCGTGTTTCGTCCGTATCAAATTGTGGGGTTTCGGGTGTAGGGCTTGGGATTGTCAAGGGCCGTTCAAAGCAAAGATGGCAAAGATCCACTACAGGGCTCTATGCTGAAATTGCGGCGCTTTTGCCCCCAAATCTGAAATCGTCTGAATTCCTCTTCGGAATGCGGCTGTCAGATGCTCAGCGCACGCACTGGCGCTTGGAAGGCAGCGCGGGAGTGAGACCGGCACTGCTGCTGCCGCTTGTGTGTACAAGAGGCAGAATGAGGCGGCGCTTGCCGGTATGGCCACTCTTGCGCACGGGTGCCGGGTCCGAAGCCACTGGTGATTCGACTGGCTTGATCTTCTTGGCAGCATCTTGGATGGACGACCGGTTAAGCGCCAATGCAGGTGGCACACTGATGGGACCAGTTTGGTCAAAGCCATTATACTGCACCTGCCATGCACCGATGATTGCGTTCTTGTCCAGCGTCTGCAGAACTTGCTTGACAATCGCAAGCCCGTGCTGCTTGCTGAGAGCAGGCTGGCACACCCAGAAAGTCCGCCAAAGGCAGGAAACTGGATAAGTCAGGACCAATCCACGCTCATGGCTGTGATCACCTCCAAGAAACTGAACGCGAGCGAAGGCTGCAAGAGTGCTCTCGTTCAGGCAATGACCATGGATCATTCGCCAGTAGTCCCTGAAAGAACTGACTTCTTGAAGCTCTCGCGGGAGCTGCTCCTTGGGAAGAGGTCCGTGCCAGATATGAGTGACTTGCGCAGCTGTAAGGCGTGGTAGGACATGGATCAAGGGCCGCTGGGTTGCCTCATTGCCCTGCAGGCAGAAGCTCCCCGCTAGCTCCGGTGACCGGGCCGAGCGCACCAAGAAGGGAGCCAAGGGCTGCACCAATCGCACTGCAGGCGAGAAGCGTACATCTGCCAAAATTTGGGAGGAGGATGAGGATGCCTGGTCACACTCCACATCCACGCAGGGCACCCGAAGCGAGGGACGCTGCAGTATCTCTGCGCTTGACATGGACTGTGACTGGAAGAGTCGGTATGGATACTCTGCAGATTGCCACGAGTCCTTGCGCAGACAGTCCCGCACTCCGAAAGCTACCAACCGACGAAGGATCGTATCTGTGGCCTTTGACGCCAGGATGTTGTTTGCGGCTCGTTCTGGTACAAAGACAACAGAGAAGCGAAATTCGATTTCAGAAAGCACCTCGTGTGGAATCAACATCTCGGAGCTACTTTTGCATGCTGCCATTACAGCCACCGCTCCTCCAGATGCAGGTGCTGCCAACAATTGTGTGCCTCTGTCTGAAGCCATCTGCACGACAAGTCGACTGAGCTGCTCCTCTGGATTGCGCAACACGTAGACTCGCTCCGCTGGCCTCTGCAATAGGAGGGTACTTCCAGGAAGCTGAGCCAGCTGCGCTTCCGCTGCGAGATGAACGGGGTGACCATCCCCCGTGAGCACCAACCAGTTTTCGGCAGCACACCTGCGAAGACTTGGATGGCCTTGCGCAGAAGCAACACAGAGACCCTGACCAGGTCCAGTCGAATCACTCACTGGTGTAAGCCTGATGTTCACTCCGGGCACATGTCCATTGCTATACTTCATATGAGATCTCCGCAATGCTCCAGAAATCTCAATGCAGCAGGAACTACCCATCAAAGCTTTTGCAGTGTGCACAGCCACTGCGAGGCAGTTCTCAACAACGAAAGGGAAGAAGGGGCACACATGGAAGGTGCACCCAGCCGGGGCGTGTATTGACAAGTGCGCTTTCTGGTCCAACTCACTTGCAGCCGCTGCAGTTTTTGTCTCAGGATCAAAGGACTTGAGTCCAGATTTCTTGCCCACAAGTTGCGGCAAGTGCTGATACCCGGACCCAAAAGAAGCTGCTGCCCCAGCAGCAGGCACCTGTCCGTGTGCCTCGCCATACACGGGAAGCAGCACCGACTTTTTCGGGAAGGACCGCTTTGGCGGCATCGCGTTTGGGCCCTTTGCCAAACCAGTGCTACACGTGGACGGTCAGGACCGACTTCTCCGGGCAAAGCAATGCTGTGCAAAAGCTGCAGCAGAATGCTCCAGAGCCCTTTCTCCGCTTTGGAAATGTGGAGCTCTGGCCGCTACGGCGCTACGGTGTATCTGCTGTGCCCTGTAAGCCGTTGCAACCTGCACGATTCACAACAAGACGCTGCGTTAAAGTGACCTTGCGGGTGAAGAGACATCTCATCCTTTTGTCGACATGTGGGCCGCGCCCGGTGCATTATCAGGGGGTGGTTCCTGTTAGCTTTGCAGGCCACCCTTGCATTAGACCAGCCGACGCCATGGGCAGTGGCTCCAAACTAGCAATCACACGCGACCGCTAGCAGTCACTAGCTGCAGGCAGCTTCCCTGTTGGGGAGGCCGCCGCTTTGTTGCTTCAGAGCTTGCTGGCACCGCGTTCGAATGCCCTATGTGCTCCTAAGAACGGAAAGTAGTTGTAGGAGGCAACGCGACATGTGCATCCTTACTCAAACGGAGAGAAACATGACTGGCGCCAGCGTTATGACGAAATCTACACTGAAAGCTTGCATGAGAGTTTCCACAGCAGCCCAGAGTTTCAACTACCAGCCATCACTGGCAGAGGTGCAATTTTCACTTGCTTTGGTGAGACCTTACTTTGCTTTCTTCTCCTTCTTCTCCTTCTTTTCCTTCTTCTCCTTCTTATCTTTGTCCTTCTCTTTGTCCTTTTCCTTGTCCTTTTCTTTGTCCTTGTCTTTGTCCTTGTCTTTGCCTCCCTTCTCGTCATTTGTCGGCTCGGGCGCTTCATTGGTCTCTTTCGGAGCCTCTTCCTCTGCCGCGGTCGAAAGGCTCCCACCCAGTTGCAGGCGCCAAGCTCGCGGGCTCATCAGCTTCTCTACACTCGAAGCCTTCTTCCAGCTCTCCAGACGCATGGCAACCAAGCAGCCTGCAAGGCTGGTTGGCATCCCATCGGCGCCGGGCTCAAGGTCCTGGCCCTCGATGTAAGACTTGAGGTCCTCGTGTGTGATCTGTCCTTGCCGGGCGATGGAGTCTTCGAGGCTCCTTGAGACAAAGTTCACCTCCTCCTCCGTGATGTCTCCAAAGCACACGTGTGTGCCCACTTGCAGTTCGTCCTCCTTCAGGAGACGGAAGACCTCCGGGAGCTCGGCAACTTCGGTCATGCCGCTCCGCTTCTTCTTGTCCACCGTCTTGAGCACTTTGAGAACTGGATCCGTCGTCTTGTCCTCACAACGTCTCAACGGGGACTTGCCTTCAAAATTTAAGGCTCTTGAAGCAGTTTGCAGGATCCATGGGGGGGGGTATCCTATTCGCCCCTCAATGCCCCTCAGACACATGGCCTCATGCTCAAGGACCACCTTGACCATCAGTGAGGCGAGCTCCGCTGGGTCATGGCCTCCCTTGTTCACCTCTCAAGCACGAGACTTCCGGAATGCCATGATGCATGGTTCCTCGAATTCCAGGACTGTCAACGCGTCGTGAGATTTGACTCGCTGCCCTTAAGCCCAGGCTCCTGCTGAATCTTCCGCGGCCAACCCCAATCAAACCCCAAAAAGCCTAACTGTTCAGAACCTCCCCCCCTCTGGAAGCTCACCTCAACGGCCATCTCCTCGGCGTGCTCGGAGACAGCGCGATCCACAAGACGCCGCAAGACCTGGTGCAGTCTGGATTGGGGAAACCCTTATTTTGGTGCAAAGGTATGTGCAGTATGGATTTTCGGGCTCATGAAGTTCGTGGGGTCCATAAACCCTAGGCCCAAAGCCCTGAACACCGCCAGCCCAATCCAGCCTCCAGCGCGGCGGTCCCGCACGCAGCGCTCCGCTGGGCCTCCGGGACGCCCGAGGCACTTGCTTCCTCCTCGCCGCCCTCCTTCCACCTTCAGGCAACACAGGATTTAGGATTGAGGGTTGAGGACGAGTTTTTCTGAGACTCAAGCTTTAATTTGGGCTTTCCGGTTTTGAATCTCAGTTTTCAGCCAAGGTAGTGCGAGAGTCTGGCAGTTTCTGCCGATGTGAGTTTACGTAGGTCTTCTAGTTGGCCTCTGTTTGTGCTTTGCCCGTTCGGGGGTATGTGCGCGACAAAGTTCTATTTTTGAGAGGTTAGGGCGGAAGTATTCTGCAGCTTTGAAAGTGCCCTGTCTCTGGGCTTGGGTTGAGCTCTTTCGATCCAAGCCACTTCTCGTACTTTGCCAAATCCTGGCTGTACTTTGCTGTGGCCTGCTGGTGTTTGTCCCACTTGTCCTTGACGCCGTCATACTCCTTCTTCAAGGCTTTCTGCTTCTTATCATCGATGCTGGTGCCATCTGCAGTTTCGGTTGGCACTCCCTTCTCATCAAAAGCGCCAAACTTCCCTTCGTGCTTGCCGGACTTGAAGTGCTCGATCGGGTCAACGAGACCTCTGCAAGCGCAACTCCATGCAAACTCTCCTGATCGCGAAGAGTTCTTCCAAAAAGTGCCCTTAGAAAGGCCCTCTAAATCCTCTGAAGACTCCACGACAAGAATGTCCTACCAATGCGCCCTTCCCGAGCACCTTTGGGCATCTTGGGCTCCTTGGGCGGCTTCATCTTCGTCGGCTTTTTGACAGCTGCGCAAGGGGCAATCTCTTCCCTCCGCCTCTCTCATCTCTCGCCCAAACCCGGCCATGGGGCCTTGGGGCTATGTGTTTGGGGTGAGGGTGGGGGGGTTGGGGTCATGTGGGGCCGTTCGGTGTGCAAGCAATAGGAACGAGCCCCGAGGACAAGAGTACTGACGGGACACCAGTGGCAACGCAAGAAAGTGCCAGCCATATTCCTGTTGCTGCAACAATGCCATCTTCCAGTTCTCCCCCTTGCTACGTGGCTGGCCCATGATTTCAAAGCGTTGGAGTGACTTGAAGGCCTGCACAAAGAAAGTCGAAGCAGCCGGCGCAAGCTTTTGATTGCAACATATAGAGGCAAAGAGGTGGCAGAACTGGGTGCCGATTCTCAGATTTAAGAGAAAGCATGAATGAAAGTACGTTTGTGCTACTACTTCACACGTTGGCCAGTGGTGGCCCCAGGTTTAGCCATTGTCGCACAATACAAAGCAATGAGTCAGTCAAGCACACCATACGAGGGGCACAAGCCTTGGGCTTACCCAGAAACATCATCGCACCTTGGATCTTGACACCTTCCCAGACTTGCTGGTCGTCGCTCAGCGCCTGGATGGGTTGACTAGGACGAAGTCGGCGCAGGCAGAGCACGTGATTCTGTCAAGCACGACTTGTTTCTCAGCATACCGGCATCGTGCAACCAACAAATCAGCCAGGCTAAGCTCCGCGCCATCAGCTTCTTCATGAGGGGTTCGTGTACATTGATGGACTTGAAGCATCTGTCCTGACGCTCCATGATTTTTGCAGGCTCACTAGTTGACATACTCACGCGAAAAAAACAATGCTTGGCAGATAGTTGATAGAGACTGCCTTTCCCATAACTCCGGCCACAACTGCCATTGTTCTTATTACAAAAAGCAACTTGCATGCTAAATCCTGAACCCCTAGATCGAGAGACAGGAGCCCTAAATTCCCCAGAGCTGGGAATACACTCCCACTGCTCAAGTTCAAAGGACCAGTAATGCAAATAAAGTGTCAAAGGCACACAAACAGAAGACCGACATGTGAGTTCCAGGCACCAGCATGCCCACCCAAAGGCACCAACTCAGAGAACGTTTTTCAACGGGCTGGGGGGGAAAGGCCAAGGTGGTTCGGCACTTGGCATCTCCATCAGAATCTGTTTGGACAGCCTAAAGGCTGACCTCATGCTACGACCAGCTGAACATGGAAATTTGCACCCATGCACGCTGTCCGAATGACAAGAAAACTCACTCTGGTGCTGGTGCCAACAAAGTCACCGCTGTCGAACATTTTGTCGAACCTCTGCCCGGCTCTACCCCCGGAGCCAGCAAGCTCTCGAGAGTGGGACGGTTTACCAGCGCAGAGCTCTTGACCTGAATTGTAGCGCGAGGCACAAGATGCAACGCTCCCCGTCCTCCAAGCCCTTCAGCTTCTTGGCCACGGCCTTGTCCTGGAAGACACAGGAATCATGTTCCCCCATGAAGGTAGTCATGGGACCCGCATGGCTTCGACCACACTTCAGAACCACACTTGCATTAAAGCTGTTCGCTTGAAATATAAACACGATGTTTTTCACAACTTCGGACATAGTTGCAGTTGCTTTTTGTTAATGTTTTTGGCGGCGTTGTTTCTTCATGAGAGTGAGACATTCGGTTGACGTGGGTACACTTGGACGAGACAAGGGGTTCAGAGCGCGATGTGGGCGTAGCCGGTTGGTGGCTCTGAGCGCCTTCCGCACCCTCTGCGCGCTCGGGACGGAGGAGGCCAGCGGAAAGGCGCGTGGCGGCAGAGCTGCCGCGGGAGCTCGCGGCAGAGATGCCCGGGAGGACGGGCGGCACCATACATGCAGGACGCGCCCGCGGCAGAGATGCCCGGGAGCGTGGCGGGATGCCCAAGCAGCATGTGTTTTTTTTGCGTCCCGTGGGAACGGAATGTTTTGAATGTGATTCCTGTGGATAGTGATTGTTTACGGAAGATTTGCGATTCTCTTCGATTTTATGAAAATTTTCTGGTTTTTTACTGAAACATATTTGTTTCGTCGACTTTATGAAAATGTTCTCGCCTTTTTAGGTTTTTAAGGTTCTGCGTCCCGCCTTCCCCCCCCCCTCCCATGGTGGCGTGGTGGGCACGTAGGCTTATCGGGTTTCATAAGGTTTGAGGGTTTAGGGTAGGTTTTAGGCTCTTAGGGTTTTGGGGTTAGGGCTGTCGGCACTTTTGGAATGCGAAGAGGATACGAGGCTCCAAGCGTGACGACAGTTATGAGGATGGCGAACCTGGTGCCCTAGACCCCAAACCAATAAACCCGAGCCAATCCTACACAGGGTGGGGCATGTTCCGTGTGCTTATGTGCTTTCGCATCTTCAAAGTCTTGACACAAACGTGTACAGCTGCTTAACCAGGGCCAGGAAGGCAGAGCCATTGGCTTCGGGCGCGGCTTTGACAGGCAAGTAGCCTTCCTCCCTCACAAAACAAAGAAAAAAGAGGATCGACATGCAATCACGTGCCGTCCTTGCGAACTCTGACGTCTAGCTTCTGTCCAATGACCTGCTCGATCCTGAGTGAGAGATAGAGAGAGTGAGAGAGTGAGAGAGAGTGAGAGAGTGAGAGAGAGTGAGAGAGAGTGAGAGAGAGTGAGAGAGAGTGAGAGAGAGTGAGAGAGAGTGAGAGAGAGTGAGAGAGAGTGAGAGAGAGGAGAGAGAGAGTGAGGAGAGTGAGAGAGAGTGGAGAGTGAGGGAGAGTGAGGGAGAGTGAGAGAGGTGAGAGAGTGTGAGAGAGTGTGAGAGAGTGTGAGAGAGTGTGAGAGAGTGTGAGAGAGAGTGAGAGAGTGTGAGAGAGAGTGAGAGAGAGTGAGAGAGAGTGAGAGAGAGTGAGAGAGAGTGAGAGAGAGTGAGAGAGAGTGAGAGAGAGTGAGAGAGAGTGAGAGACAGTGAGAGAGAGTGAGAGACAGTGAGAGAGAGTGAGGGAGAGTGAGGGAGAGTGAGGGAGAGTGAGAGAGAGTGAGAGAGAGTGAGAGAGAGTGAGAGAGAGTGAGAGAGAGTGAGAGAGAGTGAGAGAGAGTGAGAGAGAGTGAGAGAGAGTGAGAGACAGTGAGAGAGAGTGAGAGAGAGTGAGAGAGAGTGAGGGAGAGTGAGGGAGAGTGAGGGAGAGTGAGAGAGAGTGAGAGAGAGTGAGAGAGAGTGAGAGAGAGTGAGAGAGAGTGAGAGAGAGTGAGAGAGAGTGAGGGAGAGTGAGAGAGAGTGAGGGAGAGTGAGGGAGAGTGAGGGAGAGTGAGGGAGAGTGAGGGAGAGTGAGGGAGAGTCAGGGAGAGTGAGGGAGAGTGAGGGAGAGTGAGGGAGAGTGAGGAGAGTGAGTGGGGAGAGTGAGGGAGGGTTGAGGGAGAGTGAGGGAGAGTGAGGGGAGTGAGGGAGAGTTGAGGGAGATGTGAGGGAGAGTGTCAGGGAGCGAGGGAGTGAGGGAGGGAGAGTGAGGGAGAGAGTGAGGGCGGTGAGGAGAGTGAGGGAGGAGTGAGGGAGAGTGAGGGAGAGTGAGAGGAGAGTGAGGGAGAGTGAGGGAGAGTGAGGGAGAGTGAGGGAGAGTGAGGGAGAGTGAGGGAGAGTGAGGGAGAGTGAGGGAGAGTGAGGGAGAGTGAGGGAGAGTGAGGGAGAGTGAGGGAGGGAGAGTGAGGGAGAGTGAGGGAGAGTGAGGGAGAGTGAGGGAGAGTGAGGGAGGGGAGTGAGGGAGAGTGAGGGAGAGTGAGGGAGAGTGAGAGGAGAGTCAGGGAGAGGAGGTGAAGGGAGAGTGAGGGAGAGTGAGGGAGAGTGAGGGAGAGTGTCAGGGAGAGTGAGGGAGAGTGAGGGAGAGTGAGGGAGAGTGAGAGTGAGGGAGAGTGAGGGAGAGTGAGGGAGAGTGAGAGTGAGGGAGAGTGAGGGAGAGTGAGGGAGAGTGAGGGAGAGTGAGGGAGAGTGAGGGAGAGTGAGGGAGTGAGGGGTGAGGGGGTGAGGGGGTGAGAGTGTGAGAAGAGAGTGTGTGTGTGTGAGAGAATGTGAGAGTGTGAGAGTGTGACAGCGTGAGCGTGAGAGAGTGAGAGCGTGAGAGTGAGAGTGTGAGAGAGAAAGAGGAGAGGGAGGGAGAGAGAGAGAGAGGGAGGGAGAGAGAGGGAGAGACACACAGAGAGAGCGAGAGAGAGCTAAAGCCAGAGCTGGTATCGGGGGCCGTCAGGGTCTTGGGAGCTCATGTCCCACATGTATCCGCAAGGTCCCCTCAGTTCTGCACTCGTCAGACCAAACCGCTCTTTCCAGGTCTTCTGGAACCTCCTCCACGACCACGACTAGCGGTGTCCTGCACTAAACTGACATCAAACTGCAACAGCCCAAGAAGCGCGCGCCCAGTGCCCCAACAGCGCAGGCATCTTGGGTGGCATCTTCTTTTTTTCTCCCATCTTCATGCTACACAGGTGCAGTTGCATTTTGCAATCACAAACAAGTCTAATGGAAAGTCAGCAGTCATATTTGCCGCACCCTACAGATACAAGAAGACAGATCCGCATCTCGACATGAGGAGCATGGTACCCCGAACCATAAATGGACGTACTTGTGAGAGCCCATTCCTGCAAATTCAGACAGCTTGCGATGCAAACGGCAAGGTAAAGCTCAAATGGCCTGTTTGCCGCAGTCCTCGCCTGCTTTTAGAAGTTCAGCTTTCGCAAGTGAGCTTTGGCATTTGCTTCCGCGTCACTCAAGGTTCTCAGTGGCATCAGGTGGCTTTGCCAACCCCAGTCATGGTGAGCTTTGGCTGGCAGCACGAAGCACATCCCGAGCAGTAGCTCGCGTAGCCCTTGAGGCAATCCGACACAGCGGCCAGGGAGGCTTCAGAGCGCCGGCTGGAGACGCTCTCCGGAGTGCCCCTAGCTGGCGTGTTCCTTCCCGAGACCTGCAGAATGTGACCAATGACTCTCTCTCTCTCTTTCTTTCTTCTCTCTCTCTCTCTCTCTCTCTCTCTCTCTCTCTACACAAGAACGAACGCTGGGAGCACACGATTTTCCAGCCATACAGTAGCGTGCCCTGTGAGTTCCCCCCTCTCCCCCCCCTCCCTCCCCTCCCCTCCCCTCCCCTCCCCTCCCCTCCCCTCCCCCATTGCCGCGCCTTTCGCTCAAGCACGTTCCCGATGACAGGGATGGCTGAGATCAGGCCACGCTGCTTCTGCTTATCGTTCCCCTGTGCGATGGCCAACTTCAGGACTTCCGCCACCTTGCAATTGGGGGCTCGATGGGGCTCTACGGCGCTCAGCAGACGGAGGGATTTAGGGGGTTTGGGGTTTTAGGGCCGGGCTTGGGTGTACGGAACCACCACTCACCGTGCCCTCTACAGCTGCTTCTCTACCAAATCCGATCGAAAGCGCTTAGAGATTGTAGAGCCCGCAACATTGAAGTTTTCAGGTCAGCACATGAGGGAACATATAAACCGTTAAGTACGCCTCTTTTTATCGGCAACTTGAGCCACAGTCGAGGGTAAAGCGATGGTATGCACAGCTCGCAAAAGGAGTGTAATTCCTCCATGAAAAACTACACCCCCCTCACCGTGCTTGGCACAAGCTAAGGTGGACAGAGGATTACGACACACCCTTTCGGGTGGCCCATGTTGTCCCACCCGCTATGACCGAAACAAAGGTGAAGGGAAAGCAAAACTTGAGCTATTGTGCATACAAAATGGGCATTCAGCGGCTCCACCACTGCGATCCGCGCTGACTGCTCCAGCGGGATGAGCCCCAACCCTGACTAGCTGGCTCACGCCACTCACGCCACTCCCGCCATTCACGGTCTGACCACCACTGTTCTTGCCCTTGATGCCAGGGTGCTTCACGAACAGCTGTGTCCCTTGATGAGGCGCTCTGCGTCGATGGACGGGTAGTAGTGGCAGCCTCCGTTCGCTGCTGTGCCGTCTCTCGATTCTTGGCGGCGTGGTAGGCGGTGATTCTTTCCTGCTCCTCGGCAGAGTGGATGCATTCGGCTGCCAGCATTTGCAGCTCGGCAATCATGCCTTCCGGCGTTTCATGCTTGATTTCCACAATGCCGTTGAAGCTGTAGATTGTGCGGGCACCGGACAAGCGGGTGGCGATATCGGCATAGAAGCTGAAGCCGATGAAGGCGCCGCCGTAGGCCATCCCGATGGGGTTCTCGGAGAACTGGTCAATCAGTCCAGCCGATTTTAGGCCATCCATTGGCGCATCGCCATAGTAAACCAACTTGCCCGGCATTCCCTTTCGGGAAGCTCCGCTGAGGTAGTTCGACCCCGCCTGCAGAAGCCGCTGCTCTTCCGTGCGGCCTGGGTCCGGGAGCACGGCCTTCACCAGGAGGTCCATTCGGCACGCATCCTGAACCGTGATTCCGTTCCTCATCATCTGCAGGAAAAAGGTGGCATCACGTTCCAACCGATCAGCAATGGAGTCGAACTTAAGCTTTCTCGCACGTTGGAACTTGTCTTTGGCATCGCGTATGATCAGCGCATCCAGGGAGACTGAGCCCCGCTGTTTGCTAAACTTTTCTGCGATGCCACGGAGGTGTCCCAGGAGATCCTCATTCCGAGCATTGTACGTCAGCTTGAGGAGTGTGGTGCGGCGGTTTTGCTGGAACGAGGAGTACTGGCGGCTTGCCTTGTTGGACTCCGGAAACTGGTTCTCACCGCATGTCATGCAAAAGCGCTGCCCAAGCAGGACGATGCGTTGGCAGGCCGAGCATGGATAGCTCCCGTATGGGGCTTCGCTGTCGCTCTCTGCCTCTTCCGTGTCGGATACCTCCTGTGCAGGCTGCGGTTGGTCATCCACCGATGCCTCGTCTTGCTCTTCAATGGATTCCAATGCAGCAGCATCGATCCTCGCCTTCTTTGCCTCGATGAAAGCGCCAACAGTGCCCTTGACTCGCTTGGGTTGGTCTTCTGGGACAGCCCTTGATGCCAAGGCTTTGACTGTTGAGCTCGAGGAGGCTTGTTCAACAGTATCCGGCTCACCCTCTCGGGTGGCTGCAGGCTGGGCCTCTCCTGCTCTTGCGTAGATCACCTTGTTCGTGTTGGTGTCCACACATGACAGGATATACTGAGGGCCAACGACTGCACGGGTCAAGATCCCGCGGGTACTGTTCTCGAAGAAGACGAGGCCATCTCGGAGAGCTTCATGCAGGTTCACCGCAATCTGGAACGGCTGCGTTGACCTGAGTCCAGAAGTGTACTTCTCGTCCTTGAGGGTAGTAGGTGAGAAGTACGCATGGGCACGCCCGCCCTTTCTGCCGCCAGCGACCTTGATCCCGGATTTCAAAATCAACTCCACGCTCTTCGCATCCGTGCGGTGGTATATGACCTGTGGAGCGACATCCAAATTCTCATTAGTGAGAAACCTCCGGGCAAGGAACTCGTCTGACTCGATGCGCATCACTTTCTCCGAGTGGCCGGTGACTGCTCTGATCCGCACAGGAAAGAGGGAGAGATTCAGGCTGTTGCTGATCTCATGTCGGATCCCAAGAATCTCGAACCTCCTCTTTTTGTCCTGCGCGGTCACCTGCAGCAGCTGTCTTACGCCCCATTTTCGACGAGTTGCTTCATTGAAGCGGTCCAGGAGCTTATCGACATCCGTCCACATGGCGATGTCGAAGTCCAGCCCATACCAGTCATTCTGGTGTCCCCTCAAGAGCAAGCTGAGCAGCTTGAGGTCGCCGTGCCTAAAGTTCACCCGCTGTTCATACTTGCGGAGATCGGCACTTGGCAGAGGCTCAAGGTCGTGGAGCTCCCCGTTGTACCAGTAACCGGTCATCGGGAGGTCCTGCTCCTGGCTTTCCTCTCCACCATGGGTTTTGGATGCGTCCTGGTACATCTCGCGGGCGTAGACATCCTCGCTTTGCCCCGACGACTTACCCTTTCGGGTAGCTGCGCTTGTTGCCCGGCCGTCTGACGCCAGGGGGGGTCGATAATCCCCATCATCGGCGAGCACGACCTCGTTCAGGGGAAGGTACTCAGCCTTCTCTGACTCGGCCTGGACGACCTCACCCTTGACCTCATCGATCTCCGATACGTCCGAAACCACAGGATACTCCACCTCTGATCGGGCGATCGTTTTGTCTTGCTGAGCGGGTGCGGCAACTGGTTCATGCGCAGTGTTAGCGTCGGGGACCTCCCACCAGGTGTCTTCCTTGCTGATCTTCACGGGCACAGGCGCTTTGATCTTGTGGACCTTCAGGTCTTTTCTGCCACTTTCAACCACCTCCTTGTAGAGGCGTAGGGCTTCACGACCTGCTGCACTGTCCATCCTGTAGCCGCCTTCCACCTCGATGTAGGGAAAAAGATCTCCTAGTCGATCCAGAACATCTGCATACCGTGACGCTTCCCTTTCCAGGTCGCCAAGGAGCGCCGTGGTGTAGATGTAGTCTTGGATCTGCTTGCGGTTTTCGGGGGTATCCCAAAGATGAAAATCATCGTAATAGGACAGCTTCATTGCCTGGGATGTGGCGTTCTGAACTTGCAATCCGCGACTCGTGAATTCATGAAACATCTTGGAGATGAATTCGTTGTACGCGGGATGCAAGTTGTAGGTCTCGTGGTCAACGTTGCCGACGATGCGGACAAACCCGATATGCGGCTCACCCGCTAGGGTGGCTAGCGCGTCGGCGCAGCGCCTCACCTTCCTCGCAACATCTTCTGCCGAGGTCTGGGAGGTCGAATATGCCGCGCCCGGAGCGAGCCGCGTGGGGATGCATCCTCGTCGTCCAGCAACTTCATTTCCTGACCACCAAACGATCACATCGATCTCGCACTCCGACCCATACTTGGCACGGATTGCCTGGATCTCCTCCTGCACCTGCCAAGTGAGCCACGAAAGCGTCTTTCCCCAGCACATGTGGAGTTTATCGCTCGTGTACCTGAGGGTCAGTGCTGCCATGAAGATCTCCTCTTCGGGAATGGAGAATTTCCATTGCCCCTTGGTGTTCTGTCGTCCAAGGGATGTGACTGAGTCCGTCACCACTAGCAGAAAGCGACTTCGGCGCAACCTTTCGGTTGGCTGGAGCTTGCTGAGACCCTCGTTCGAGATGCGAGCCAGCTTGAGCAGATTCGGCGTTGGAATCTCGGGGTCATTGAGGCTGAGGCTGGCGATGGTCTGTGGGGGGAAGACCTCATAGGACTTGAGGAGCGCGTCATACTCCTTCCCCGCCTGGAGCTGCAAGTACTCCACGCTCAGTCCGGCGTTGACGAGCATGTTGAGATGTCCTTGCAGTGCCAAAGGTCGGCCCTCCATGCCAGTATCGCAGGAGTAGCCCGCACCATGGGCGACCAATCGCGACATTGTTCCTAATGCCTCAA